GGTGCCCGGCGCTCAGGTGCGGGGGGCTGTCCGTGTGCACCATCAGCGGGGCGAAGGCCTCCTTGCCCAGCCCGCCGCCCTCTGCATCCTTCTTGCCTGGGTCCAGCTCTTTCCTCCGTCCTTCCACCTTGTCCTTCTCCAGGCCCCGCGTGCCGAACAGGCCCTCACCGGGACCCTCCCGGGGGGATGCACCATCCTTGACCTTCTCTGGGCTGCGCCTCTCCTTGCTCCGCTCCTCCGGGCACCGGGGGCTACCGCGGGGTGTCGCGTCCTCCCCACTGGGGCTGGCCGCTGCCGCCGGCCGCTCCTCAGGTGCCTTCTCCACCTCCGCGTCGCTGTCGGCCCCCGGCTTCTCCTCTGCAAGGGGATGGAAGGACAGAAGGTCAGAGCAGAAGCACCCGGGGGAGGCGAGGAGTGGGTCACTCACAAGAGCCCTGGCGGCGGGGAGAGATTGCGGCAGTCCCGACTGTTATTAATGGGAGAAACTCATTTTAGGGGCAGAAACGGGCCCTCATGCCGCGGTTGCTCTGGGGAAAGGGGATTAACAACAGCAGTCCTGTTGCTCTGCCAAACAGGAAAAACATGTTTGATGGAGGACCAAAATCTATTACAGCATCGCTCTCGTTAGCTGCAAACTCAAAGCGGGCTGCGGAGTGGGGGATGAAGAGAGCGCGGGCGGGTGGACAGCGCTGGAGGAAATGGTCCTGTATATATTTAATTACATGGAGCTGATCAACAGCGCTGTGGATTTATTCCAAATGTGCAGGTTGAGGCAGGTTAAAGAGGCAGTTTTAAGGCAAGAGGTATGGTACAGACTTTCCTAAAAGGGGATTTAATTTAAAAAACCCATCGAGCTCTCAGAGGAGGAAGGGGGACAAGAGGCGAGGGGATGGCGAGGCTGAGGGGAGGAGAGCCCCTGCCCGGCCGGCTCCCACTAAACAAAAAAAACATTTTGGTGCGGGTTAGGTGAAGCTCTGCAGGCTGGGGAGAATATTCGGGGAAGCCTTTGAAAGAAGAGAGGGGTGTAATAAACCTCCCACCAGCTCGGGGCGGGGGGGGGTTGCAGTTTTGATGAAGGTTTGCAGGGAATTGGGCTAGTGGAAAATTTAAAGAGCAGATTGATAGCGCGGCGAGACAAAACCCAGCATCTAAAAACTGCAACGTGGGAACTGCTAGTTTATTTTCATTTACTAGCTTGAAGCCCCGGAGTTACAACATTTTTTCCCCTTTCAAATGTATTAATTTTTTTTTTTTTTTCCCAGTGTGAGCTAGCCATGAAAGGCAGGGAACGCACCAGCGAGGAGCCGGGCAAACGCATCTAGCACAGGGGCTGCCTTGCCATTTCTTCTTGTTTACACTAATGTATAAACAGGAAAACGTTGCAAACCGTGAATGCCATTCGCGCTTGCTCTGTTCTTGTCCTTTCAACCCTTGGGCTCCTTCGTGCCCATCCCCATCTTTTCTTCTCTGCCGGTTTGCCTCTCTGCCCCGAAGAAACCGGCACCCACCGGCTCCGAGAGGGCAGAAACCCGACGTTTGGGGAAATGTGGGAACCGCGCCCCCCCCCAGCCCCCCCCGCCCCCGCCGCG